CGAAAATTTGAAAGAGTGATAGAAGTAATTTTTTTTGTTACAATAGTTAAGGGGCTCATCTAGTGTGAAATTAAATTAAAAAAAAAAGATATTTTCAGATCGAAGATTTGAGAGATCTGTTATAATCTGTGAGCTTAATTGCAGCTTGTGGATAACAACGGGTGGGCACATCAAACTTTGTTTTGTGACATTTTACCCACTGCCTTGAATATATTTTCTAATTACCAACCACGCTGACATAAAATAAGAAGTTACTACTAAAATACATAATGCAATTTTGATATTCTTTCAAGGTACTACATAAGTGATAAAATGATATATTAGAGATAAAAATTAATTAAAAAGGCGTTTACAGATCAGTTAGCGCTTGGGTGTTATGACGAAATGTGGGTTCCACTGTTTTTTAAATGACTTGTTACAGCAAATCTATTTGCTGAGAAGCTTTTTTATTTCATAAATATACCACTAATTACTAACTAAATATTTTCCAAGCCTTATTATTGCTCTTTCTATTTTGGCTTTATAATCATGTGACGTGCCTAAATGTAGGCCTAGATTTATTGTGGCCTACATTTTGGCGCACATTTAATTAGCTGGAAAAAACTGATTAGTTATCAATATTTTACAATGACTATATTACAAAGATAAAGTCTATAGCAGAAAATAAAATAACTTAAGAAACTTGTTGGAATATGAGAGATTTGGTATATTCTTTCTAAAATAAATTATGTTTATTTTTCCATGATTATACCCTGATACAAGGAAATGCTGGTAAAGAAACAGTACAAACACGACTTTAACTTTTGAGTTCTGGGAAAAAATATATTATACGTTGTCTAAAAAAGTTTACAATTTCTACATCCAACAAAATTTTAGTAGAATAAAGTGGGTTATTTTTCGGAATTTTTAAGATTATTTGTATATGTATGTATATAATATATAAGATCTAGGCTAGATATTGGCTTTGGTCAATAGGAGAGGAGTTGCGTTCTATCAGGACAACGCCAGTCCGCACACACCGACAGTGACTCGTCAGAAGCACCGGGTGCTTGATTTTGAGCTTATAATGCATCCACCACATGGTCCAGATCTGGCATGAAGTGATTACTACCTGCACGCTATCAATGCCGAATAATTTTGCTGGTGAAAATTTGCCACAAAAGAAGCTTGTGAAAATAGATTGTTTAATGGTTTTGGCAATAGGGATGAAGGTTTCTATGATAGTGGCATTATAATATTACTCTAAATAGGGAAATAAGTTTTCGAACAAAACGTGGCATTTTGGATCTAAATCGTATTAGTCTAAACACTAAACACACTTTATCAATTCGGTTTCCACGCGCATTTTGTATGGATCAGTCCGGGTCAAATTTGATTTTCAGTGCATATCGTTTCCAAATGTCATGCAAGGCATACCCGCACTCTAAACTCATACATCTCTATATACATAGATGCAGGCGATTAGCTTACACCACCTGTTGGCAGTTGCAAGAGCGCTTCGCGCAATTAAATGCCAACAAGCGGTGGAAATGCAAAATATTTCTGCAAGCGCATAGTGTTGCCACACCTGTTGCAGTGCTCTGACAGCTGATAATGTTTTCTATACAAATACATGCAAACATATATACAATGATGCGTTAAAAAAATGCATGCTTGACGTGGAGGCAAGTCGTTGGTTGTTTTCTTTTGGCGCAAAGGTCGTTATAAATAATAAAGATATATATACAAGTATATATATATATATATATTACTTACATATTTATATCTATTTATATATACGTGTGTATGTATATACATACCATAGCTATGCATTGTAATATTTTATATATTGTATTTATAGCTGGCAGGCAAATTTATCTCATTGCTTTCCTTTCTACATGCCTCAACATGCAAACCATTCACCATTTTACCAGCGCTGGCTGGGTGCGTGAAAAGGTCGTTTTCAGCGCTTTGGCTTGTATTTATTTAGTTGGTTTATGATTCCATCAGCACAATCGCCTCGTTTGTGTGGCGCTGCCACTACTTTTGCCGCAAGCATAAATAGGTATATGCATACACATCAAACTTTTATAACACACAATGTTGCCCTTCTACGCCATTGTTGTTGTTGGTTGTTGTAATGCGTAAGCGTCATTTGTTAGATTGTTGTCTGGTTGTTGGCGTTGTTGTTGTACGAAAGCGTTAATGAATTGAATTTTGAAATGTGGCCAAGCTGTTTTGGCGGCCCCGCTTGCTGACGGACAGACGGATTGCCTGCCTGTCTGCCTACTTGCCTCGCTGCCTGCTAAGCTGGGCGTACACTGGTGGGGTTGTAAGCGAGTCAGAAAAGAAAAAGGTGGAATTGTTTGTTAATGAATTGCACTGTTTTCACTTTTGCGGCGTTTTAATTGTAGTAATTTCTGTAGTGCCACTGTGTTGTTGTTGTTATTGTGCTAGCTATTATGCATATCAGCTGTTGTTGTCTCGCAGGTAGTGTGTAATTCACATACGCATAAATACATTAACATTACAATTACTAATGCCAAGCGTTCACACGGCGAGCTGTTGGCGCGTACGCGTTGTTGTGGTTGCCAGATTTAGACGAATTTCGCAATGCGTTTGCGCAAATGCCAAGTGTGTTGTACGTGATAATTGCCAGTTTGAGATATTTATTGCTAATGAGTTGTGTTAGAGAATTACTTCGTTGAGTTTGGGATTTTAAACACGCAGGTTCATACATAGCTACAAGTATTTATATACATATACATATATGTATGCTAAATATTTTTACATGGCGTTGCCAAATTTGACAATAAAGCATAAATAACAGTCCATAATAGTTTCACAATATTTTTAAGTTTGATTAAGTTCACAGTCTTACAGCAGTGATGAGCGGTTTTGCGACCGACAAAGATCAAGATTTCAAGAACTGAATCAGGTATATTTATAGTTTGTCACAAAGTTTGTAATACTCGGAAGAAAACATTGAAGATACTATAAAGTTTATATATAAATTATCAGCGTGATGAACTGAGTCGCTTTGTCATGTCCGTCCATCTGTCTGTGTACTACTTACGCAGTTTTGAGATATCGATTTGTAAATTATGCACACTTTCTTTTCTCTTCAAGGAGATACTGAACCACCATCGGATATAGCTGCCATACAAACTGATCAATCAAAATCATGCTTTTGTATGGAAGACTTTTTTATTTGACATGATATCTTCACGAAATTTAAAGTTAATTTTTCTTTAAGACAATACTATAATTTATAAAGAAATTTGTTCAGATCAGACCACTATAGCATATAGCTGCCATACAAACCGGTCGATCAAAATCAATATAAAGATATTTTATATACATATGCTATATAAGAAATGCATCTGCGAATGATGTTATAGCTTCGGTGCAGCCGCAGTTAACGGATTTCCTCTTTTTTCTGTGATTTGATAGTGAATTTAAAAAATAATATTGTTAAAATTTAAAAAATTATATATGCCTAAAAAATAACTACGAAAACGCAACTCTTCTTTTCTGCGTTCTCGTTTATTAGTTTATATACCTTAGTAAATTACCGTTATGTAAATAAAGTTATCAATCATAATTGCTGAAAATGTTGCCCGAAAGAAAAAATTACGCCAGCATTCGTGGCATTAACACAAACGTTTTGATTGATAGGCATAATACTCGTATATTAAAGCTTCAACAAAGGTCAGTTAAAACAACCCTGCCTCACTCTAAATTCAAGCCTCAGCTATCAAATGCTTTATTTTAGGCTATTAACATTGAACTGATTTACCGTAATGTTCAGTGAAGGCCAATTTTCCGACATTGAACACTTAAATTTAGCTGCAAGTAGAGTAGTCAACAAGGTTTCTGATAAGAAGCCACTGCGGTTGCTAAAAAGGCTGATAATCATCGGTTAATACTGGAGTAAACAAATATGTGTTACCTTTTTTATGACACTTGTAATCTTGATTTGTTTGAGTTTCTAACTCAAAATGACATCGTGTGCTTTAAATGTGCATATTTTTTGACAAGCGCTTGGTATAATCTTGTAGACTGGCAAGCTGGTTGCGTGATTGATTAACTGGCAGTTGGGGTAATAAATTATGTAGAAAATATTTATTAATTCTAATTTTTAATATTTACCATTAAAAATTTAGAAACTTAGAGAAACTCTAGCTGTACATTTGTGTAATGCGAGTGTAAAATTTTTTAAAGCTATTAAGACTTTTGGGTATGGAAAAAGTTCTGATAAGTTTTGATAAAAATAGCTTAACAGCAAACTTGATACTGAATGTATGAATGTATGAATACGAGTATGTATCTATTTTGTGGCTATTTAGCTAACTAAGACCTTAAAAAATCCTGTGATACATTATATTCTAAACCAATCCGTTAAGGTCTAGTAAACAGAAATAGATTATACCTATTTGCATTAATTGAAGGTTTTATTTAGCAAAGTTAGATTGATCCGATTTAGATGCACCGTTTTGTTCGAGAATTTGTTTTGAAGGTACTTTCTTAGAAACCCTCGCTTCCTAAGAAATTATGCGCCATAAATAGGAATATGTAGTAATCAATTGATGCCAGGTCCGGACTATAAGGAAGGTGGATGCATATGAATCGCCCAACCAAGCTCCCAGAGCTTCTGGCTCTCTCTCTGTTCAACATCGTTGTGTGTGACCTGACGTTGTCCTGATGGAATACAATTGTTCTCTTATACTCCAAAGTCGGCACCGACCTGCACGTTTACAGTACAGGTCACAACCTTCAGTTCAAACAACACTGAGTCAAGCAATTACAAAACTGTCTGAGAAGTTTCTTTCAGTAAAAATTCTTTCTTATCTTTCTAACGTCACATAGCTTTAACCGATCGCACTTGCATAACTCTTGCAAAAATCATGAAATATCATGGATTTGATTTCGATAGAAAAAAAATATTTTAGAGTACAATCTTTATATATTTGCTTTAAAAATATTGATCTAAAATATTATCTTTACTCTTTTAATTGCAGATCACAAGAAACCAAAAATGTCTGACACACTGAGCCGAGTTAAACTGCAATTGCGCCCAGTCAATGGCAGCGTTCTCAACGGTAATAGCGACGATAAGTCACCATCTTCACCGGCCGCAAAACTGCTGATCAATCACGGTAAACCGAACTACACCATACAGCGTTCACCGAAGGCACAACAAAATGGCGGCGCAAACCCGCTAAATAGTGAATTACAAAATAACAACCGCAACAATTACTATCCATACAAAAGCGCCGGTGTTCAGGGCACCACGGGCATCTTCACCAATGGCAATGGCATAAAAACGAATGGCGCTACAAACAACAATAATAATAACAACAGCAGCAGTAATAGCAGTCAGAATGGCGATGAATTGATCATACAGAGCACCAAATTCAATGGTGTCTTCAAGCCCGCCAACATACAAAAGTTGGAGAGTAATGATGATGTCGATAGCCCAGTTGTGCTGAGGCGTGTACCAAAGCCGGAGGCAACACCTCCAGTGGCTGAGAATGGCAATGATGAGAATGTGCCTGAGTTTATACTACGTCAGCGTCGCATACAAGAGCGTTTGGCTAAGGAGAATATCTTGGACTTTGAAAATCGTCGCAGTGGCTACTTTACGCACGTTGTCATATCGCCATCTTCACCGAATCGCCAGTCTTTGGTGGAGACTATGTCCAGTCCACCGATTGTGCCATCTTTGGAGATACCGCCGCCAGCCAAGGAGGCGAGAGAGGCATCCATAGCTGAGGAAAATAATGCTGAAGTAAGCGCTGCCACCAATGATGAGGCGCAAGCACATGAAGAGAGCGTGACAGTGGCTACTAATGAACAGGTTGAAGAAGAAGAAGTGGCCAAGGCAATTGAAGAGGTTAACAAAGCGGTAGCTGGCGAAGTGGATGACGACAGATCCGAAGAAGTAGCAATAGCATATACAGTTGCAGTGGAAGCTGAAATTAAAGAGGACGCTCCAGAGCCAGCCGTTGCGGAGCACAAAGTAGAAGAACAGAAGAGTTTGGCCGTTGAGGAGCCCAAAGTTGAAGCAGTACAGGTTGAGGAACCAAAAGTCGAAGAAGTAGAAACACCTGTTGTATCTGTAGTGGTAACGAGCGCACCTTTAATTGAATCAGAAGAGCCAAAGGCCAGTCAATTGTCCGCTGAAGAAACAGTAAAACCGACAGCTGACTTAGCAGGCGAGCCACAAAAAGTAGACGAAGTAGCAGAAAATGTCGAAACCGTTGTAGTAACAACAAACTCAGTTGAAATTCCCAAAGAAAACGGAGAAGCTATTGTAGCTGAAACACCAAAAACTAATGGACACGTTGAGGAAGATGTAATTATTTCACATACAAATGGCATCGCTAACGGTATAACTAACGGACACGCCACACCCAGTCTGCCTACACCCGATCCAAGTGGTGCTTTGGGTGTTAACTACGAACCAAAGACAGTGGTTTCCTTCTCAAAGGACTTGGATGCACCAAACAATTATCCTGATACAGTAAAGGTCACGAAGACAGTTAAAGAAGATGGCGAAAATAAAACAACTTCGGATGCAGCGAGCGAAGAGCTAAAGGAGTTGGCGAAATTGAAGTTCGACATTAAAGCCGATGATAACGATGTACAAGTGACGCCTGTCTTGCGACTCGGGATTTAAGCTGAAAGAGAGCAGTAAATAAGCAAGCCGGGGGTTATATAACATAGCTTGTATATACTATTTATGTTTGTCCGCACAAACATAGCATAAACGGGGGAACGTCACTTCGTAAAGGGGAAAAATTGTTGCTTTAAAATTGCCACAGTAGCCGAGAGTCTGTTGGGATCATGCTTAAAAGAAATGTTGTTGGTATTAGCAAAAATTATGATTGCCAAGCGTGGGATAAGTGCATTATAGCCATAAGTGACGACAGTTTTAGCGCATACTGTTCGTTATTAAATAAAATTATTCATATTATTATTCTAATTATTATACATTGTAATGTTTATTAATTGTAACATTATATAATTTTGTTTTATATATTTTAAGTCAAAAAAGTTGCCAAATTCATTTTATTATTGTACAATAAATTACAAATAAATACATACACAAATCGTTTAAGCATTAACAGCGTTGGAACGATTGAAAATGGACTATATTTTTATTTTTAAATGGCAACTGTGGCATACCTTACTACTGGTTGGAATTGAAACTAATGTGGAACATTTGGAAATGGAATATTATTCTTGTTGAATAAAATTAGTGTAGTTTTGATTGATTGAGTAGACTAAAAATAATAGCAGGGTTGTTCAGATATATTTTGCTATAACGGTTAAATTTAAAATATGGCTGGTAACGGTAACTTTGTAAACCTTATGAAGATATTTTTAACACATTAAAATTAACTACAAATGAATATTGCCCACATTTATATTTTGAAACAGCTCGAAGTGAAATAAGAACGCTTGGAATTGAAACGTATAGTTTAGCAAGTGTGACCGGGTTTTGAATGCATATCTATAAACTAGTAGTGCAGTTTTGACTTCATATTCACAGCAAAAAATAAAAATTATTTTATTTGAAAAGTAGTGCGTTTGAAACAAGAATCATATGAAAATGGAACGCTATAAAATTAAAATTTGTTGCAATAAATTAATCAAAAAAAATTTTGTTACGTTTGTGTTTTTCGAAAATAAATATTCATCGGAACAAATGAAATTGAAACATAAATGAAACATGCAATAAATATTTATATATAAAAAAATAACGAGTTGTAAATGTCAAAGCATGTTCTTCAGAAAATTAAAAAAAATCTAAAGTAAGAACAGGAACGAGTGATATTGAAACAGTCATGTTAAAGAAAGTAGACGATCATAAAGACGGTTTCATACATACATAGGCCCACTCACTTTTAAGCAATGTTAGATATGATTGAAATATGTTAATCTTTTTTTAAGCTGCAAATTTTCTACAGAAGCATTTAATACAAGCAATTAATAGTTGAGGTACTTTTATTATATCATTTTTATTTTTTTTCGACAAAGATGTTATAAACAAAAATACTGCGGTTATCTTTTTGTGGAATATCTGAATACAGTTGGAACAATAGATAAGATCGACGTTTTGTTAGTATTTTTCACTCTGTCTCGTCGTGAGCGTAAGGAAATGATCCGAACACTCTTCGTTTGAGGCGAGTTGATTTAGATTTTTTCTACAAACGACTTGAGAATGCGCACTTACCATTTTACTTTTATTGCTAATGTATGAAATTTACATAATTTAACATATGTATGTAGCAACACTTTTAGTAGGTCAGTTTCATATTCGAAACGTTCCTCAGCACTCAACTACATACAAAATTATTCAGAGAAAATTTTGCACATTTGAACTTCCAGGTAAATAAAATGATTAACATTTAACATGTTTTTAGTAGAAGTCAACGATTCGTACGAAGTGGCACGTTCTGGAATGAAACAGCAAAATTTAGAGTTACATGCGGAAAATGTTATTTAATTCGATTTTCTCTAATTAATACAATTTTTCGGATTTTTTTTTTTAATGTTAATTTTGTGTTCCTATTTCAATTCGTTCCTCCACTGTTAACAAATAAGTACGCATTTTAATACACATTAATATTTTAAAGACAATTTTAAATTGCTTCTTTAGTAAGTATAGTGACTTCCAGATTAGGAATGTGCACAAGAAAAATAAAAAACAGAAGTTTTTAAAATTAAAAAAAAAAATTACAAATAAAAAAATAAAATTAAAAAATTAAACAAAAGTTTTTTATTATAAAAAAAAAAATTAAATAAGAAATATTAAAAATTACAAAAATATTAGAAATTGTAGTCACTGCTTATAGAAAAGCTCTTCTATAACAAATCTATTTAAAAAATTTATTTATGTTAAAAAGCACAAATAAATAACTAGCAAATCTTCAAACTCATACATATCCCATACAGATGCTTTATTGTAATATATTTTATTGTAAAAGCTTTGTTTATTGTAAATTAAAAAAAAAGAAAAATAAAGCAAACAAATTTGCGAAAGACAAAACAACAACAACTTTTATGTGGTAATAACTTTCTTCCACTGCTTAAATAAGGAAAAAAATTGATAACTTAAGCTTTATTAGTGGAAGTAGTAAAAGGGTTAATGTTTATAAATAAATGTTCCATTGTCACATGGTCACCTAATTGATTACAAAACGAGCGTAGCGAATAATAATTAAAAATACCTTATCTGTCTTGCCAAAACCGATAAAGAAATGAATGCAATCAATCTGGCACCACATGAATAACTCACTGAAAAATAGCTGTTATATCATAATGTGAAAGAATAACGGTAGCCTACTAAATTTACATATTTATGCAAACTTTTGTTTCGAAATATTGCGAAAACAGCAATTTTGAAAAGGAACTATTTATAAATATGGTGAAAGAAAATGAAAAGATAATGGTATGTATAGCTGAAATGAATAGTAACTGCCGAATTTGTTGATAGCTGCCATTGCCAACTATTTAAAACAATTTAGTATCGGCTTTCAGCTAAAAAAATATATACGATTTTATAATAATACTTTCAGTTTAGTGCCAAATGCTGCTTTTGGAATAGAAATCTATTATGAAACGCATGAAACGCATGCTACCGAATTTGAAAGTAGTCATTAAGAGGATATGTGTTATAGATGATATTGTTTTCTTGCTGCTTTTAATATATATATTGTATATATATACATATAAACTGTCTGAATCGATAAAAAAATTTTCTAGATTTGTACAACCGATTTTTTATGTTTTTATTATTCCCTTCTAGCTTGCCGCTGCGGCAAGTATTGTTATAAGGCAGACTTATTTTAAGAGCATGCTCTCAGAAAGACCAGTGACAGTGGTAAGTTGTAAATATTATTCCTGGGTTTAATCCTAGTCTTGTCATGCTTGGACCATATCTGCTTCATTATCTGGCAGAAGGTTATTGATTTCCATATTTGTTCAAAACGAGTATACAGCGCTCTTTTGAATGTTCCCTGCATGCATGGTATTAACTTCGCCTCGAACTCGTCTTAAGAGGCTAAAAGTTTGGTCAACTCTTTTACTTTTTCGTTGCAGAAAATGTTCCTGTGGCCGGGAACCCAAGTTATGGACAAGTGGAGTTGACCAGCTCGTACGCTTAAAGACTTCCTGAAATTGTTGACTACGCTGGAACTAAGCTGTGACTTCGACAAGGTCAGCAGTGCCGCTTAGCTATCAGTTAATATGGTTGCTTTCTGTATCCTCCCAATTTTTACTATGGAGAAAAAAATCAACAGCGAGTTGGCTTGAAATTTTGTGTTTCTAATATAATCATCATTGAAAATGTTGCAAAAGTATTGAGGGGAGTCTACTTTATTGTGTATTATATTTGAGTGGCACAAAGCAATCAGTGAAGGTCGTGAAGTCATTGAAAACTTTTCCTCATGCGAGTCGTCCATCCATCCCTGTTAATGACGATAACATCGAGAAAGTTAAGGAAGCAATGCTTGAAAATTGTGGTGTTAGCAGCAGAGAAATAGCAGACAATCTAAACATTCCTTAAGGATCCACTCAACACATTTTGGTTAGTATTTTGCGTATAAAGCGTGGCAATACGAGCCTCGTAACTGATAATGCTAGACTAGATCTGAATCTTTGGCAAAAACGACGTTGAGTATAGGTCCCAAAAAGAGATGCTTTACAATGTAGCCTGAGAATCCAATATTCATTAAATGCATTACAATCTACAAGACGTAGGTTTATGAATATGATGACGAAACTGTTCAACAAGTTATAAAATGGCGCTCCAAAAATTAACCAAAACCGAAAAAAACAAAATTCGCTTAAGGCAATGAAGGCCATCGCAGCCGAAGCTTATAACAAATGTAAATTAGATTAAGAGTGGGCATGCTTCTATTGGCTCAAAAAGAGCCAGTTTTGAAGGCTATAATATAGATTCCACTTTTCTTTATAGTCCTGATTTCGTATGAAAAATGAAGGGAGCTACAATGTTCGAAAGGACTTCGTACCGCTTCGAAATGCTTTTAAAGGCTTTCCATTGTTTACCAAAGGTTCTCCATAGAAACAAACCGTTTGATGTTAGTCAGAAGTCGGGATTTGAGTGACATGATGATGCCGGTATTTATTCTTACAGGACCTTTGTAAACAGCTTCCCTCTTTCATTTTTTAAAAAATGAGAAAAATTCTGTTAAATTGACCAAAGAAATATTCGCTCAGATAGTGTGAGGAAGAGAGAAATGTAAATCTTGCGGCATCTAACTGAGAAGAGAGTATGCTTAACTCTTTAATTTGTCCCGGCATCTGTCAGAGGGCTGCGCATGGGAGTAATTTCTGGCAAATTCTGACAAGGCTTTAAAATTTCTGACTATTTGTCAGATTTTGTTTTTTTTTTGGAAATAATCTTTATTTTTATAACGAAGATTATTAAGTACAAATGTACATATATGAATGATAAGTGCATAAACATTGATAGTGCTGTTCCTTAAACCTAATTTATAAAAGGGGGATTTCCATCTAATGCAAAAAAAAAAACAAATTTAAACTTAATAAACTCCTATCTGATATTTAACTCGCTTAAGATTCAGAGCGCATTACGCAATAATCGTCAGCAGATGTCAACAGTTGCCAGTAGGTTTATCATGTGCAAAATAATAGCAATTAATACAAATTTGTGTGAGATCAGGTGACTTTTAGTATGTTCTGTCGGTTGGAAAATTATGTTAAAGACGTTCGTATGTTTTTCAAAGGCTTGATAGCCTAGTGACAAATTACATTTAAATACCAGAAAATGTATTACAAGCATATCAAAAATGGAATCACATAATTTGATAATTACAATTATCGAGAATTATATATTATTTAATTATGAAAGTAAATCTATGTGATATTATACAACATGTGATGGTAATTCCGTTTAACACATAATGTTCTGTCACAGCACGCGCTCACTCAAATTGACTATCCAACAAATGAAGCAGGTGACTTTTGCGGAACGTTTCCAAGTGCGACAACCGTGGGGGTTGGGGCGATAAACCATTTCAAGTAAACTTTTGTCGTTCGTGAGTAGTTTTTAATTTTTTTTTTTTCTGAAATTTGCATTTGTTTTGTTCAATTTGGTTGTGAGTGTGTGCGAAAACATGTGAGCGACTGTAATTAACGAAAGCGGGAAAAAACGGGAAATTGAAGAGGTGCTCGTAGTGACATCCGTAGATAACAGCGCGACGTTACGATATATTGACTGATCGAATGAATCGGTTTTCAATGAACAACAATAATGAAATATAGTGTGTATGCAAATTACACACATGTACAACGGTAAATATTTCATTTGTACTATTATTTACAGCACTTTGGCGTCATTAAGAGTTTGATTTGTAGACGTTGGCAGGTTTATAGGTTTTTAAAGTCAATTACAAGTCTCAGTATAGATATTATTTAACGGTAAAAATATTATTTACTAAATTTCTGTTACGGCTTGGCATAGTATGTCTTAAAATATTCAAACTAACATGCCTAGAAACAGATCTAAAGTTTACTTTTAAGATTCTTTTAGACTCCATAAGCGTGAAAATGCATTAAGTCTCAGTTATGTACGCCAAGCTTCACTTGACATAAGCTGAAGTGTCACTTAACGATTCTGTTTAAGACGCTTCATTTATAAAGCTGTAGGCAACATCTAATCGAACTGAATTTCACTTGGAAGTTAGTTCAATTTTCATATATAACGTCAAGTACTACTTTCAGGGTTGTCATTTGTATTAGTTTACTTGATTTTGACACTTCTCAATGTGAAGATTTGATATGCTGATGAAACTGTCAGATTATATGCTCTCTAAGTGGAGTATAATCAACAGTATCTTATTAAGTACTAAAAGCGCAAGTTAAAGTGTTGTGAAATAGGCATGACTAGGCCTTAATAATTAATGCCAAATCACTGTCATCAAATTAAAGGAATCTATTTTAAGTAGTGGGTAGAAAATTACCGAGATACATTTGTATTGAAACCCAAACGGACTTTGAATCAGTCCAAATTGTCAGCAATAGTTATTTTCCTATAATATTTCTTTTTGTCTTATTCTAAAATAATCGGCGAGTTGAGGAAACTTGTTTATAAGTGTAAAATTCTATTCATTATTTGTGTCATTTTATTATCTTCATAGTATGTACTTCAAACTACACCAATTCCCACTCAAGAAGTTTAAGTGACTGAGTGGATAGTTGATAACATCGAAAATAACTGTTCTTCGAGTTATAAATTATTAAAGTAACACAGGTAAACTTTTTTTAAATTTTATGGCAATATCAAAAATTTTTAACATGTTAGTATTAAAAAAAGTAGAAAAGCAGATTACAAGTTGTATATACCAGATTGAAAGGTGGTTACAATGGCTCAATGGATTTTTTAGTCAAAATGCGTTATCAAACAGATTGTATTAAAGGATTAAACCGGCACTTCAGATAATCTCGTCCGTTGAAATCAACTCAACAACGGAATCCAGCTAGCCGATCTCCTGGCGAAAGAAGCTGCGGCAACCAGTCCGATAGGCCAGATCTATTCTTCGCTGTGGATCCTCACATGTTGCGAGAGTAGTTATGAAAAGAGGAAAGAGTCACTAGGAAACGCCACTGCGAACAAGTGTCAGGGCTACGCAGGTGAGGCCGCTTCTGAGTGAGTCTGATACAGAACGGTTCAAGAACAGCTTGTGAGATACATTTCTATGTCGGTTCTGTATCGCCGAAGATCAGAGACACCAGAGCACTCCTGGCTATCACGCTATCGGACAAATAAATCCGGTGAGTCAATATATTACAACTATTAACCTTTATCAAGTCTCTTTGAATTGACGCAGTTCAACGAAGTGTTGTGATAACAGGAAAGGGCACAGTAGACAAAAGGTTGCAGTGCATTTCTCTATATACTCATTAAAGGGATTTAATTAAGGAAAGAAGCAGCAATTTTTTATATTGAGAGTAGGATAGTTAATATAGCTGCATAAAACAAATATTTTTAAGGTCAGCAGATTGAAAGGGTTTTGTGATTAGCTGTGAATACGAAAATTTCTGAAACCGTTGTTTCTTTAACATGAGACCGAATACTTCCAAATTGACACGTATAAGACTTCTTGAATGTGACCTTTCTACCGGAGGACTACTGTGTTAAAATGAGGGTTCGGATTGTATATATTAAGGTTAGTAGAATAAAAGAAAAAATGTGACAAGAGGTCTCTAGGAGAGCAAATTTTTAATAACTTTTCTTTTCGCGATAAAAGCTAGCTCATTTAGGAGTACAGCTCTTAATGTCTTTCTTAATATTCGGCTATGCACCATCGAATGAAAATATGTGGCTGTGTTTATAGCCAGCTGCATTAAAATACTAGGTAGCATATAGACTTGTTGGATGACGGTGGAACATGGCTTAACATTTCTGATAATGAGCACTATCTTACTATTGAATCGAAAATGCAAAATTTAGCTTGTGCAGTCACCGACTCCATTTGGAAATGAACTTTAAACTTATCGATCAAAATTTCTTACATGGAGATTTTTCAAATCCCAAAGAAGCAGCTCTTTCATCACATAGATTTTCAGTGAGGAATGTAGTCGATGGTAATTTCAGGGCATAGGTTAGGTATAGATAGCAGTAAAAGTGAAACAAATCGCATTTCGTGTGCTTTACTTAACATATTTTCTTAGAAGGTTTTGGAACGCATTTAGAAAAAATTGTATAATGAAAATGTTTTCGGCGAGACTTGATGACAAACAAACTGAATATAATTACTTTAATTTAGTATAAGCATATTAGAAATATTTTAGAACTTATCACAGGGTACCAATCTGCGATATTTCATCTACATAATTAGTCGGAACAGTAGCGGTAAAGTCTATGGCATGCTTCGTGGATAAGGAAACCTAAATAAGTGCCCAGAACTTAGCCGATCAGTATGGTATATCTTCTACCTTAGCGGAAATTGTACTGCAAGGCACGAAGAAAAGAAGAAATATCTCAAGATTAGTGACTAAATAACACTTGGTTGGGTATCGGAGAAGCGCGACGAACCTATTTGGATATCTGCCAACTTCTTGGTTTCCCTCTCAAGAAAGCAACCTACTATCTTTAAATAATTTTATTCTCATATAATTTGGTACTTTTGTAGAAATACAACGTATGTCTGAAGGTTTGTAGCTTTCTTAGAACGTCTTCGCATATTTCTTTGACGTCATCTTCGCAGTTGTGTATGTCAACTGCTGCATATATTTGTTTTTGTATCCATTATGGCTTGCGTATATTTTTGGGTAGCTACTCGCATTCTTGCCAGCACAATTCATTTGCTTTATCTGTTAACTCTTCCGACTAATTCAAATACATATATTTTGTGGTTTTTTCTTCATTATTATTATTATTTAATTTTTTGTCATAATATCACAATTCTAGAAGTCACTTTACCATTTGACAGCTAATCAGCCATACTCAATTTTCGACACTTAATAAATACAATAAAAACAATTAAATGCTGAATAAATGTATATACATATGTATGTACGTCTATATAAATATTTATTTATAGTGTGTATATTTGTATGCCCCATATAGCACTGTTATTATTTGACTCTGGCCTTATCTGCGATTTTCAATTGTTCGAGGTTAGATAATATTTCTTTTGTGCCCATACAAACATACATATATATTATACAAGTATATACATATGTATGTATATACCTAAATTATAACTGCCACTCTGTTTAAAAAAATAAACCACATCTGTATTTATCATACCGTTAAATTTTGTTGATTTATTTCATTTTCTTTGCATACATATTTATTGCATTATTGCCATTTCGGCGCTGATACTTTTTGCTATTGAAGCTTTCATTTACTTTTTGATTGATCATCGTCTATTTTGAACGTTTTGAAAATTGTTGTTATTTTTTTATTTGTTTCTCTAGTGAAGGTGATATTTTTTTTTAGCGTATAATATTTTGTATACACAAGTCACGCTAGTTTGATGAGCCGCCAATTAAGATAACAGTATCTTACTAACGGTACTTAACAATTTTCAATCCAAACTATCGGAAATGTTTTTCGCCCAAGGCACAATCACTGCATATGACTAATTTACAGTAAGCTTATAACTGATAATATGAAGCGTCTGTGAATGTATGAATTAATAGGTAGCTGTCATATATTTTGAAAACATGTTTACTGGCCTTGGATGGTCAAAAGGAGAAAGAAATCACAAAAAAAAAACATAAAATTGTTTTGGAAAATTAAGTTGATTCACCGCATCATAAACTTATTAAAAGGAAAAGGATTTATGAATTGGACATTGAATTGCTTCCGTATATACTCTATTATACGGACACCCGGTGACTTTTTCCGGTTCCCAGACTTTGAAAGAATGTGCGCTAGAAATAATTCGGGAAAAGTGGAAAGGCTGCAGCCTATTTGATTCAAAAGCCAAAAATTTAATAGAGAGTTGGAAATTCGCTTCGTGTATCACCTTCGAAAGCATCTCTTATGGATTAATCGAAAGTTTTAAGAAGGTCTGCTGCCAATAGCATAAAAATCAATATAGCAAACGGAAATTCAATAATACCCGACTTAGGAAGAGGGGTCAAACCGTATGCTACTATTTTATAATATTAGGTAATACAGGAAGACAAACGCAATTAGGGCTTTAAGCCACTTAACAGTGATCTTTGGGTGGTCCCGTAATTATTAATGCTGCTGAAGTAGGCAGTATAATACCACGCTATGTATAGAACATTGTTGAAGAAGATATTCATATGAGCAGTATTCCGTAAAATACTTCTGTTTTAAAGGCGCTCATGAATCTTCCTGTCGAGAAGTTTAGTTTACTTAACAATAGCATTCTACATAGCCTTTGAATTTTATCTTGTAGGCCATATCTTCGTAAGAGTGGGAATAACATTAATAACGTAACAAACTGTATCTATATCTCGGTGAAAGTTTAAAACTTACGAATTTCTTTCTGCGCATAGCTGTTAAATTGCAACATAATCAATAGAATTTTGAAGCGCAAATGGCGGCCAAGCCAGTAAAAATGGTCAAGAAGGTTTTGCTACGTGTTTGGTGGGATTGGCAGGGAATCATCTACTATGTTACTCCTTACGACTGATCTTCATTCGGACCTGTGAAGACACCGTGTGAAGTAGGCAATCTCCCAAAAGGGGCCAGCTTTTGCGAATACGAGAGGCATTGTTTTTTTTTTTTATCAAGAAAGCTTGGTTGAGAGATACTTATGCATACATCTTAAAGTACGGACTTGGCACCAACTGATTTCTACCTGTTCTTGTGTATCCCTAATGATTTCGCTGGACTCGGTTTCAGAGGATCTTGTGGACATCGACTGTCCCGTTTATTTTGCTACTAAAGTAAGAAGTTACTAGAAGAACCTCAACTTGAAGAGTGTTTTGTAAAGATAAATATGTACATATTTGAAATTTGAATACCACTACCAATGGTAATGGGGTAGGTTTACATGATACTTTGACGTATGCCGTGACCCGCTATACAGGGTTGCTATGAACAAAAAAACAAAAAAAACACGCTAAGCATATTTACGTTGACCAGCTGAGACCAACACGTGCGGCACGTTTAATCAATATTGCCAAACAATAATAAACCGTTGAACTGCTAACGGTGTTAGGACTCGCAGCTACGCTGCTCAGGGGTTGACAAGGCGAGTCACCAAAACAAACTCAAGCGAGTAACTAGCCAACTCAAAGTTTGGCCAAAACAAAGCGCAGCACACCTGCCACTGTCGCAAACAGATATGTTTTAGTAGGCAAACTTGAAAGATGTGTGTCCGCGTCAAGGGATGACACTTAAAAAAAATAAAAATAAAAATAGAATTTAGTAAATAATTTTCGGAATTTACTGTCAACAAGTTTTTTTTTAACCGGTCAATCCAAATATTGTTAATAAAAAAAACTGTTAGTTTCTGCATGTGCTTGGACTGTGTAGTATGGATTTATGCCTGCGAGGGTCGCAGGTGAGTGTGAGGACTGCTTAGAATTTACAATTGAAATTGTTGTTTCTCTTCTTCGATTCGCAGATTAATCTAGTTGAACGTCAGAAACCACGTCCCAAATATAGTTCCCAAACGAATTTGTATCAACCGCCAAGCGGCAACAATCCTAACAACTACAATACACGCGCACGTCCACGTTCGGCACAATTCTTCACGAAACGTAGTCGCTCCTCGCCATTTCTCAATCGTCCACAATCGGCTGAACTCAGTCAGTTTGGTGCTGGTGTCGGTGTTGGTGCTGTTGGTTGCACAAATTTCGGCGTGGGACGCAGTTCAGGTGGTAACTGTGGTCAGTATCAAGGACGAGGTGGCGAGTACGTGCCCGACAAATTGAACAAAACCGTAAGTTTACTGACAAATTGCATAATCTTTAGCACAAGGAATATAGATGTGTAATTCGTGTACATTTTAGAGGCGCTATCAATCTATTTCTTCATCGAGTTTGTTGAAACTGTTGCTCGACGAGCCCATAAAGCGCTCCTGGCTGTGTCGCGGTAGTGTCTCCTCACCAGAAACACAATCTGAACAGAGTAGTACCAGGAAGCAGACATACACCGATTACAATAAGCGAACGCGCGGAACGGAGACAAGTAGTGTTGAGAGTGAGAGGTGCCGAACAGCGCAAGCAGCGGGTGTAGAGAACCATAGATTTACAATGAGGTATAATTTGTTGAAAATCCATACGTCTATTCTAGTTTATATTAAACTTTATACTATCGCAGCGCCTCAACCTCGCGCTTGTCGAGCGGCAATTCGGTTTCGAGTTATTCGCGTGAAAAGTCTGCTGGTTCCACAGCCTCTACCACTTCGCTACGTGCCACTGACTATTGGCATACAAATAATACTACAGCACATACGTCAATGCTGCAGAAGCAAGCCAAACCCGATCTTCCGGGACGTGTGTCCTTCTCTAAGCCCAATGCGAGCTTGCTATATGAAGCAGATCTGAGCCTTAGCGATTGCGAAAATGAAAAACAAAAGTCACATGAATTTACAGCAACCACAAAGAATTTTGCAAACAATGCTTCCATTTCGGAACCAGGACCTGTTACATTGCCAGCTGCAGTTAACTGCAGTAGCAAACGTGAATTTGCTGCGCCAACCTTATCGTGTGGTGAGCTCTCCACCTCGGCTGGTTCTAAGAAGTCAGTGCATTTCGGCGCGGCTGCTGGTGGCGAAGGCATACTCGCCGAAACCTATGAATATCCAAAGTGTCCATCGGAAAATTGTTCGTGTAGCACACGCAGTTCGTCGACGGCAAGCAGCACACAGGACATTGGTGTCGAGGGCAAGTGTACTTGTGACTCGCCGACTTGCAAATTGAGCGTTGAGCGTATGTTGCGACGTTCGAGTCTAACAGATATTGACGATAAAATGGATTTCAATCTAAAGGCTGATGGTCCGAAGAAAAACACTGCCATTGCAGCTGAAGAACTGCAGGTAATACGTGACTACAAAAGTGTCGTTGGCGATCAGTTGGAGAACTCGGTGGTTAAGCAGATACTCGAGGAGGACAAAAGCAAATTTGGGAGCTATGACAACTCGAATAATACGCTCGAAATGCCCACATACTTGGATAAGTATGCGTCACCAAGCAGATCGAATGTTTACTCAGATAAACCAAATAACCTATCCGAAGGAAAACCATCAACAAATGTAAAAAATGGCGCTAAAAAGAATCTGGTTGGCAGCAACGCCAATGAGCTCAACAAAATGGATAATAATTTGGAAAATAATTTCAAGTCGCAGGCCGCATATGCTCCTACTAGCGATACAGTCATCAATAATTATTTGAAAGTTGCTGCGACCACACCACTAATGATCAAGAAGAAGGAAAATAATCGACCGAACTCCGGTGAAAAGCAAATACAAAACAAGGAAAACAAATCGGTAACAGCGCCAAATAATCAACCAACGAGTAGCAAAAGTAATGGTAATGCGAAGCTGAAGAAAGCGACGAGTTTTGGCAGCCTGCGGGAAGATTCGAATTTGACCGACTTCAATCTGGACAAAGTCGATAGCTGGATGTCTATGCATGGCGAGAGCATGAATCAGCGTAAAATACTTTCGAAGCATAAATCTTTAGACGGCGACTTTGAGAAATTTACAGCTACTGATTTGGTCGAAGACGAGCATAGAGCAGATATTTTAAATGAACGTGATGGCGACAATGCATCGCAGGTGTCTACCAAGTCGGATGGTGAATCCACATACGATGAGATCGTCTCAGTGATTAAAGAGATTGATGAAGACAAAAAGAGAGGTTAACATTCGGGTAAACTTTGTAGAGAGAAGTACTGCAACTTAACACTTTCTTGTAGATAACTATGCGGAGAGGGCAGCTAATGAGTTGGAGCTCAAGCTCAATACAACAGCAGATACGGTGACCTTGCCTGCGTCAGGTGAGGAGAAGACTGCTGAAAATAGCAAGTCGCCGGATAAATACAAGTGAGTTGAAAACGCTGTCTATCGATATGCACTGTTGAGAGATTTTGTTGAGTATATTATATCAAGTTTTCATGTTCTTAGAGACATCCTTAGTTACTTAGATACCGTTGAAGATAGTTGTGATCGCACTTTGCTCGAGACACGTCGTTCTATACCGGAGTCTAATCGCTCCGAAATCGAATTTGTCGTGGAACCCGATATAGCTGAAGATGTGCCGAAGTAAGTATTGAAAATTATACATTTAAGTGTGTTTATTCGCTAACTTTCTATATATAATATATTTACCACCTTAGGCTAGCCGATCTACTCATGCTGCCCAATCATCAGCTCGCACGTCGCGTCATCGCTTTGAGTTTGCGTGCCAATGAACTCGCCAATGCTGTTTATCTCTCCAAGGAACATGTAATGAAAGTGCGTACGGAGAAGCAGAAGTCTATACGTACTGAGAAAGCAACTGCTGCGAATCGCTTGCGTGAGCAGAAGAAACATTACGAGTTGATTGTAAAGCGGCATCAGGGTTTTATAGAGCAGGTGCGTTGTGGGAGTGGAAAAATTAATTTCGAGAGGTGTTATACATTTTTATTTTCTTCACACCCAGTTACTAAAGGATAAGGGCTCACTTTGCGAGAAAGTCGCTGCTCTAACACGCCGCTTAGAAAGTCAAAATCAAGCTTGGGAACACAAATTAGAAACGGAGGTAGCGCGCGTCAAGGAAACAACTTTGGCTGGCGAGAAGATTAGGCGTGAGCGTTGGGTGCGCGAGAATACAAAGAAGATCAAAGTATTGCAAAGTAATGAGTCACAATATTGGAGCTTTAGCTGATATACTTTCTTTACTTCCTTTACAGGAGCTCACTGTGAAGGGTTTAGAAGCGGAAATTAATAAGATGACTTGCAATCATCAACGTGAAGTAAACGAACTTAAGCAGGCACAACAGCAACAGCTATTAGATTCGCTCGAAGAGGCGCGTCTTAAACACGAACAGATTGAGAATTCGATACGTGAGTCCTGTGCACAAGATCGTGAATCGATTATTGAGAAGGAACGCCTGGCTATACGCGAGAGGTGAGCTACGTGAGGTTGCCTATATTTTACTTATTCTAACTACTAACACTTTCTGCAGATTTGAGCGTCAGTTAGAGGAGGAGCGCAAATGTTTTGATGAGCAGCGACAAAAACTCGTTGATGATTTCAATGCTGAGCGTATACGCCTACAGAATGAGCTAAAGATGAAAGATGCCGACTTCCAAATGCGTAGACAGGAGCTACAACGCGAGAAAGAAATTGAGTTAGAGCAAACAGTTGCCGAGTTACAGGAGAAGATGTTCAAACAAGAGGAGAAATATCAGGTTAACTTGACTGACATTTCAGTGGTAGTGGAGAGTCTTATTCAGCTATCTTACATTCCGTTAGAATCGCATCAACACTATTGAGAAACAGTACGAAGCTGATTTTGAGCTTTGGAAGCGTGACTATGAGAACGAATGCAAGGTGTCACAAGTTGAGAAGGAGAATGCGATCCGCCAACACTATCGTGCCGAACGTGACCGACAAATCGATGCTATTGTCAGTCGCATGGATGCTGAGGCGTTGAAACATGCCGAAGAGCATGATGCCAAATTAAAGTGAGTGCAAGAGTAGGAGCGTTAAAAAATATTTCTATTGCTCTTTTTTTATAGTCGTTTAAAAGACAAGTATGAAAAGGACCTGCAGTTAGTTGAGAATGCAGAGCGTTCACTGCGTGAGAAATACACAGATACGCGTAGTTCTTTAGCGGAGGCTGACGCCAAAGTACGCAACTCCGAAGCGGAGATCAAGCAGTTAAAAATGGAATTGGAGCATAGCAAGAAGGTGAGTAATGCGGAAATTTAGCGAAGGTTCTATATTGTATTGTTTTTGGGGTGATAATCATCAGCATTCCCGGTAATAACCGCTCTCTCTATTCTCTATCAAAAACTGATATTGTCACTTAACGATTAGCATTGTATAGAGTCTAGACTAAATGCTTAACTGATATCCACCAGCTTTTTTTTGAGAATTCTTATTTCTGATGTGTTATAATTCATACTTTTGGGATCTTCCACTTTTCTGTTAAAAGTGCCATAACCTCAACGAAACTATTGATCTGGTTTATCCCGGCGACTACATCAATGAATTAGTAATCTGGAATTCTTACGTTGTTAAAAATGTTTCGACTGCATATTTCACTGTCTAAATATTCCAATTATTGAAAGTCCATTCTTGATGAGCTAAAAATGAGCAATTACTGGAGGAATCTGTTGCGAATTTGAGAAGGGGAAAATACTGCTTTAAGGTCTGATATCGGGGTCGTCATCGAAGTCAACAATCCAAAGATGTTAACAGGGCTTACCACTTACTCTGAGGAAACGTGAGAATTCCAATGTATGGTTCTTTACTTTTGAAGAAATGTTTTTACAGTAGCGACAAAAATGACTCCCAAAATAATATTGAGGAGTACTGAGTTGGGAGACCTTGTTCGGATATAAATTCGGGTCCGTTCCGGTTATGAATACCCGATATTCTGTTAGTTGTGATAATTTCACGATGAAAGTGAAAGCCTCCTAAGCCTGCTCATTTTTTAGATAAATCGTAGTCCCACTTTCGAGGGAATATTGTCGAAAGAAACTTATACATTCTGTTTATGAATTTAAATACAATTAAAAATAAGTTTTCTTCTAATTTTCTAGATGTGCAATGATCTCTTAGCCGAACGGGATCAACTTCGTGATAATTTACGCAACGAAGTACAAAGTGAGGTGGCGGTAATCAAATCGGAGCGGGATACCGAAATACAAAAGATACACAAGAGGTTTGTGGTTGATTAGATATTTTTAGGTAATACAAATTAAATACTTAATTAATATCTTCTATTTTGAAGGGTACAACAAGCGATAGAGAAGAAGGATGCCACCATTGACTTGTTGCAGAAAGAAAATGGCAGTCTGCGTGAACGCTGTCTCAAGCTGGAGGCGGTCATCAGGCAACAGCGCAAGGATTATTGTGTGAAGTGATGCCATACATTTAAAAGTGGATGTATTCTTTATAAATATATTATTTAACAAACTAACGACAGTTTTCTAAAGCAATTTAGAGAAGCTTAGATATACAGCAAGCTGAAAAATTTATCAAAGCAAGCCGTCAGATTTTATATTGTCATCAACATTTCAATTATTTTACATTATTTGTTATATTATTGAGTTTTATATAATTTGTAAATATTAATTACGTTAATGTTTCTTATTGTCTAATGAAAACAACGTTTTGTAACCCATTTAGTAAACTCGAATTCAACGTATTTTTTTAAATGTCCTCAAAGAGAATGCATTTATTATAATTTTATGTGATTATGCTTTTTATTAATAAAAATATACGAAAAAAAATATAATTTAATAAAATTTTATAAAATCGAATCGAATGTTATAAAAAATCGAACAAAAAAATCCATTTAATATCGAAAGCATATATATTTCTATTTAGAAATATTTATATTTTTAATTATAAAATATTATTATTTGAAATAAAAAAAAATTAAATTTAACGAATATAAATTATTTCTGCACACATTTCTCCACACTACATACACACTGTGTATTACAAGTCATATTAGATGCGCCTGAAAGTAGGCTAAGGTCGCAATATAATTTACAGTTATGGCTAACACCGTTAAGCGACGTTTCTAAAGCACATTATTTACCGATAAGGGAGTGCCACACAGTTTATTTACAGGGATGAGCAAAATATTAGCAGTAGGTATAAGCAGCGTTATTTTCTATATAAATTTAGGCGACAAAACTAATTTGGGTAAAAAACCTACTTGAAGGCGCTGAAAAAATATTCAACTTATAATAGTTGTTTTGAAAATATTTTATAGAATAAAAGTTTGCTTATATATCAACTTCATGATTTAAAGACTTGAAACATGCTTTCATTTAAATTTTTGTCATAGATTATAGGTAGACTCATTAAATGTTGTTTGTGGAATTCAAAAGTGTTCTCGGTAATAATAGACAAAATGCTGGGGATTACATTGTGCTCAAACAAATATTGAAATCTCAACCACTGTTTCGTAAACTAAGAAACATGTTGAGGATCTCTATGGTGTTGAAAATGTTTTAAGAAAGATATTTTATTTTTGCTGGAAAATGCCAAGTTACAGCTAGTACCAAGTTAGGGTCTTCTAACTAAATTTTGCGGTTAACATATCAGTTTCTATGTATATTTTTGACAGAATTATTTATTTCTGAAATTGAATACGAGATTAAAAGCTTACGATCGAACCAGTGGCATTGCCGATACTTCAATTTTAGTAGGAGTTCAGTTTCAGGTCTTATATGTTTTCAAATAATTTTTGGCCAAATCTGATCGGCTAGTTTTTGAGTTTGAGGTAGATTTCAACGTCAGATGGATATATAATATAATTTGATTTCTGTTAATAAATTCCATTTATTTTTTTGTTTCCTCTTTCCATATTTTTTGACGAGAATAATGATTACTTTTAATTAGTAATGTTCCTAAAGGTTTTGAAAAGATTTTGGGCCCCGAGCGCGATGAGAGTGAACTATACAAATGTCTAGGATGTCACTGTAGATATATTTTTGTTAGAAGTTAGCTCGGGAATTTTCTGGTAGATACACAAATCTGATAATCCCCTAAGATAGTTATAAGCTGTTTCTTTCTTACATTCTACACCAAAAGTTTTCCAATCGCGGTTTATTTGAGACAGTCAAGAAAATTTTTTTCTTTTTCAGCTGCGCATTAAAACTACTTGAATACTCAGGAAACTTCAGAAAACAAGAAGAACACAAACAAATCCCACATCCCTTGGGTTAGGGGTGAATTGTTGGCCTTTAAGTTTTAACACAGTTTGTTTCTAGGTTAAACTTTGTTGTTGGAAAAAGAGGGTTGAAAATTAAACTACGCGCCAAAGACTTTCCCTTATGTTAGATTAATCTAGTATTGCCATATTTAATGAAAGTGTTTACAATAGTTTCATTTTGTTCACTTGCCTTGAACACTTATACATACATATGTATGGATGTAAGTATGTATATAGGGTTAATATATCTGCTGCGAAACTATGCATTAACTATTGGCGCCGCACTTACTGCGACGATATTGAAATTGATGTAAACCCATTTCATTATTGTCTATCAAACACACAAATCTACTGTGGATCCACATACATAGCTCATATGTAAAGTAAGTGTAAGACCCCTGTAAGAAATACATACATGTGTAAATCGATAGCAATACCGCGCGCCTGGCAATAGTAAAACTATTCATTAATTATTAATGTCTTTAGATAAAAGGTAGTAAAATCCATCAACCGCAACGAAATTGAGTTGGGCAACAAATTTTCGTCACGTCCATAATAGTGACTGTTAAAAATTATTTTTGAGTTTTTGTTAGAAATCAATTACTAGGATATTTTAAAACAAAAAAATATTTGAATATTGCCACATGTTCAAAATAAATTTTATATAGTTGATCAAACATAATACTGTTAAAAATTTTGAGTTTTTTTAAATCTGCTACTCGGATGATGTAAAACAAAGTAAAAAAAAAATTTGAATCTTGCCTCTTGTTTAAAATTTTATTAAATAGAAAAAAAAAATATCATAATACTGATAAAAAACTGAGGAGATTTAGAAGAGTTATCGTTCAAAATTCCTTCAAAGAGGTTTGCAACTTTTTTAAATTTTTAGTAAAAAAAAAATATTAAAAAAAAAAATAAATAATAAAAAAATAAAAAAAATAATATCAAACTAAAGAATTTTAGGTAGACCAGTTAAAAATATAGTTGAGTAAGATGCCACCGTTTCAATTTAAGAAATGGTACTAAAAATGGTATTACAAATTGTATATAACAACATAGCTATCAAACTGAAAAGGTTTAAGAAAGATTTCTGTTGAAGGCATTTTTCAGAAGGTTGCCACTTTTGTTTATGCGAGTAATTTGGTAAATATTATTTAAATAAATTCAATAGTACTATGTGAACCTCAAACCAAACAGGATGGCTTTCTAAAGGTGAATTTTTTTAAGCGTTGCCACTTGCTAACAATAATAATAATTGAAAATTGCATATAATAAAATAGATAGCAGAATATTGGTTTTAAACTGAAAATATAAAAAAAGCTTTCAGTTAAAAATTTTAATGTAGGAGGCTTGCCACCTGTTTAAAAAATATAGTTTGATCAGATCTTTTGAAAAATATTACAAAAGATCTCAAAATAAAAATATGTATCAAATTAGATTGGTTTAAAAAGGTTTATAATTGAAAATATTGTTGTGAAGGTTGCCACCTGTTAAAAAAAAAGGTATGCAATTGGATAGAATAAATTAAATATTACAAACGTAATATATTTAATTAATTTTAAGATTTATTCAATAAACAATTGCCAAACAATAAATAAAAAGTTTTTTGGCTCACCCTAATATACTATTAAAGTAGTAAAATGATGACTGGAACTCTCCTGAAGAACTTTAAATTTCATAACTACGTTTTCCAACAGGGTGTATAGTCAGATGCAATAATACATATGTATGTATATAGCAAGTCTTACATACATACACATATCTATGTGCGACTGTATGTGCCAATAAAATAAAGTATGCGCCTCGCGTAATATCATTTAAAATATTTTTACTGCGCTAACAACAAAGTTGAAATGCCACTGGCGTTAGGCTACTTTTTGATTGTTGCTATTTTTATGAGCAACTTACACACATTCATACATACATGTACACAATATGTACTTTTCTTTGGTAGCAAATGTGGTGTTGCCTCTTCTTCATCATCTTCTATAGCTGCTCATTTGTAATTCTAATATTCTTGTGGTCTGGTTGTTGTTTTACTTTTGCATGACTCACTACTGCGCCGCATTTGAGCAACAACAATTTGCGTTCCACAATAGCGCAAACCTGTTGCTCAGTTCGTTTGGAATGCGCGAGAGTGTATGCATTTGGCAGTGGATTTGTTGCTTGGCAGCATGTTGCGTGCAACATTGTTGCTGGTTGATGGAATCTGGTGTTATTTATTGTTTCGGTCACAGTTCGAATCTCTAACTACAAATTTAAAGTTAAAAATAATATATATTTAAAATAATATTATATAAAAATGTAGAATAAACAATTACAAATAAATAATAATTAAAATATTAAAAAAAATATCTAAATTGTAAAAAAACAAGAAAAAACATTAATTTCGGCTGCACCGAAGCTATAATATCCTTCACAGGTGTATTTTTTATAGCATAAAAGAGTGTAAAAAGATCTTTATCTAGCTTGTGATTGGTCAGTTTATATGACAGCTATATGCTATAGGGGTCGATCTGAACATCTATGCCAAAGTTTGTGAAGATACCTTGTCAAATAAAAAAGTTTTCCATGCAAGGACTTGAGTTTGATCGGTCAGTTTGTACGGCAGCTTTATGCTATGGTTGTCCGATATCGGCGGGTCCGTGTGCAAAATTTTAGATCATTATCTCAAAACTAAGGGACTAGGTCGCGTATATACGGACAGATGGGCAGACGGATATGGCTAAATCGACTCAGCACGTCATATTTATTATATATATTATATTATACCTATATGCATATATAGAGTTTATAGTGTCTCTGGTCCGTTTCCTTCTGGGTGTTACAAACTTCGTGGCAAACTTAATATAATTAAATAAATGAAACCTTATACTAAAGGCTTCGAAACCACTGTATCGATTTGATATATTCAAGATATTTTTATGAAAATGTGTTAAGTGTTAATGGAAACCCAGTAGATGGCGTCAAAGCCGCATTATTACTTAACTCGTGCGTATGACCTGATTTGGCTTCTAACATAAATTTGTAAGGATAGGGAATCTAACTTGCCAAACACACGACCGTTTGGTGTTCAAATAGAACTCAAAAATCATTTTTGTTATGATAGATTTAAGCTCGAAGCGTTATAGTTGTTGTGTTCGAGTAAAAATGTGTGTTCAAAATATTCAAAAATAGCAGTGACTTCGAAAATACTTCATATGGCATAAAAATTGAAGAAGAAAGTAGGTTTGACTTCACTTTTGGCGTACGATCTTAAGATTCATACATATATATACATAAGTATTTATATACATGACGAGTTCTGTGAACTCAAAACATGGAGTCAGTGCAATGTTAAATGTAACAGTTATAAGCTTTCATAAAGCTCTTTACTTAATTTGAGCTTTTATTTAAAAAACATGTGATATTCAAATCGAACTAGATTTCAAGTAGCAGCATAGGTGGGTTCGTATTTTCGAGTGTTATATTTATGTTTCCTCTTTCCATTAATCTTAACGACGTCACTGGCGTTCAGCGACTCTGTGTTTATATATTCGTATGCTATTTTTGTATCTATTTAGCCTGCAAATTGTTCTTAGCAAGAGCCCGCTAGTCTCTGGTTGTTGTTTTGTAAACTTTTTTTACAGGAAATCATTTGGCTATAGTGTTTATGTATTGAATTTTAATAGCCGGCTATTTGCAGCTACATTTTCAAGTTTATTTGCTACGAACTAGTATGGTTGTATTGCTTCTATTTTCTTCGATTTTCTACTTTTCGATCAATCGACCATATGTGGTAAGCATATTCCGGTACTTTGCCGGCCGCACAAAATGTATTTTTTTCAATTTTTATTTTTTGTTTTTGTTACCAGCTCTGCTAGCATTGAGTTTTAAGCTTCATGTTCTTCGTTGGCCAACAGTTATTATGGATATCGACCATGTGTAACTTGTTATTATTTATTTTGTTGCCAAACGCTACCAGAAACGAGTTTCTTGCGGCTAAGTGTAGCATGCGGCATGATTGCTTGTCTTTTTATATATATTTTGTTTTTGTTTTTTCTTTTCGTTTCTTTATTTTTTAAAGTCGTTTGTGACCGCTGTCAGTTACAATTTGTTGTTACCTACCAGCGAGTAAAATGTCGGACTGTTGATCTTTTCACGGCTATGCGATCACGGCTTTCAGCTTTCAGCTTTCAGCTTTCGGCTTTTATTTAATTCTTTTTCTTCAAGTTTCCTTTTTTCTTCAACGTGTTAATAGGCTCGTTAGCTATGTTGAGGTGTAAATTAAATAATAAACTTGGTGTTTACTCGCTATATTTATGCATTCAACCCATGCTAATCACATCTTTATGAACAGGCCTTATATTGACTTTTCAGTACTCCGAGCATGCAATACTTTTTATTTACCGTTTTTTATGAACACAAAATTTAAGGGTAAATAGCGCTACTTAGATAATACAAAAAATACTTTAGAAATTAAGCAATAAAGATAGCGATATGAGAGCTCCTTTTCATATTCTACCCATGACCTTGAGACGATATTACACTTGCAGCCACTAAAAAAAGTATTTCAATATCAGAAATATATAATTCAGGTAAAAAAAAGTGCTCGCTTTTCATCGCCGCGTTCAAAATCTACTTGAAGATCGCATTTTCACGCCCTAAAATATTTTGTATCGCACTTCTTCGGCTCACTTAGTTCCACGACTATATTTTGCTTCGTGTCCGAGATATTTATATTAAAATCAAACTTATTTACTCAAAAGAAAAGGAGATATACATACATATGTATAGGACATAAACTCAACCAAAGGGTATATCACGATAGAGTAAATCCGAGAATCGGAAAATTTTATAGTAGAGATATGACGTTTAGACCACTATATGAGTAGATCAATTTCATTCATATGGTTTAAAGTGAGACGGATAGTTGATACCACTATATTAGCTGACTTTAAAAGCTGGAAAATCTTTATTGAGTATATAGGTGCTAGGGGAAGACCTGGACTGATTGCATTAACTTTTGACATTACTCAAGTACACTCGAAAACATATTCCAAGCAATTTTTAGAATATAATTACATTAATAATATAATACATTTATAAAGTTTGTCAGTATAAAAAAAATACAAAAATCATTAAATGCAGTAGAAGAGAGTCTATTACGACATATAATTAACAAACAAGATCTTCTCTGAGTTTCCTTGATGATTTTTGATACCTTTCCAAGTGAGTAAAGTCTACCCAAAGTTTGAAAATCCTTATACCATACTGGTTCTAGGCCATTGACCCGATTTTAACAATTTTCTTCACAAGAGTTTCGATAACTGATTGCTAATTTAACCGGAAGTTCAAAGTTTTTACAATGGAAATGTGGAGGTTAGGGTTTGGCACAACAGTTCATTATTATCACGAAAAAATTCTGTTTGAATTTCAATAATATATCTCCAAGATTAACCGATATTATCGATAAAAAGTCAGCTGTAGGTACTGGGGTTTGCATACGCGATATATGGAATCTTGAAAATTTATGAGCCGATTTCGACAATTTTTAAAACTGGGATGAAATATCATAAAAAAAACTATTTTGCAAAGCTTCATTTCGATGTTCCAATTATTAGAATTTCTCTCCAGATAATGCTAGTAAATAGTTAAAGCTACATAACTAAACGCTTTTTATATACAATATATTGATGCCAAGTATGTGAGATATACGAAAATTCTCCATTATATGTTATATAGACTGTTTGTTAATCGCAACTACGATACATTTTCGATAAATTCTTCTCCAATCTAAATGTTACATTTGTGTTTTCTATTTTTCTTACATTCAAAAAACATTTGACATTTTTCAAAACACACAAAAAAAAGCAGACAATCAAAAGACGTTGTCCAAAACGCTAAATAAAATTAATAATAATACTAAATTGTAGTACAAAATTTTCCTAATAAATTCTTTATAAAGTTTCTATTTAATTTATGCGTGAATAAAAGTGCTTTGCCGAGAGCCACTTCCTCGACAATATAGCAAAGAATCTAGAAGATAAACCGAAATCATGGCCTATGCATACTTGCGCTCTCCACAGATGGTGAAACATCCTATACCATATGAAAAATACTTGGTGGAGGTTGGTAAGCGTGCTGGACCCTGCGCTCGTCGTGAATATATGCAAATGGAACTAATACTGCCCAGGCAACCGATAACGCAACCACCACCCAAACCCAATAAGAGTGTGCAGGTGAAAGAGGCTGATATCGATGCCTGCATGAAGATCAAGAAACCGGTCAAGAAAGGTAAAAAGGGCAAGAAGAAGGGTAAGAAGGGCAAGAAATAAACGCAAATAATTGGCTTATGAAAAATAAATAAACAGTAATACCACGAGGTACATCTTATCTCCTCGGGTAATGTATTTAAAATGTGATTATGACACTTATTTGTAAAGAAAGTTCGTTTTCGTATTAACGTTTTGTGTAATAAAATTTCTCTTGTAGCGTACGTCTTTAAAAAACAGAAACATTTTATTTTTACATAACCGAGGAAGCGACACATGATAGCTTCGTTTAGTTAAAACGGAAGTGTGAGAGAGAAGAGAGTGTTATGCTTGATTTGCTCTTAAGTAGTTGAGTTACAGTTAGTTTCTCTTGGCAGAACATTACATTAGATAATTAATTGGCAATAGCAATAGAAAACTCCAGTTCGTGGTTGGAATATATTCCCTCTTCCGAATAGTGAATGTGAATTAGTTTCGATAGAAGTTACGAAGAAAGATCTCAGACATGCAAACCCTAAAGAATGGTATACAAAGAGAATTTACATAAACCAGATTAAATTAAGAAGTACAAAACCGACCATTAATAAGCATTTACAGTAATTTTTAAATTTTTTCTAATTGTTCAAGTATATATACTTAAGATCTACGGCGCATACAGTTTAGTTTTGCCATAGATGTGTCAGAGTAGATTGATCTCTCAGTCCTTCCTCTAACTGCTTTCCATGTCAAATGGCAACTCTACTTTTCTTTCTTTATTTACGACACACATTTGTGATTAACTATATTTTAAGACAGTTCAGTTTATTATCAGAGATAAAATCAATTATAAACAAAGCCATAGGAACATCGTATGATGTACAGAGAAATAATAAGTAGTCGTATCTGTTTTCCGTACGTCGTTTCTACTGATGTTTGTTCGTCTGGTCTACTCACATATATAAATCTCGGATCCTCTCTTTTGATTTACTTTTGCCTCCCGAGTGCTAATGGATATTAGGAAGATCTTTTTTTTGGAGTTGGTCAGAAACCGGAATGGAGAACCCAGGCCCTACGAAGTGGTAGCGCCCATCTATAACTACTACACCACGTTGGTAACGATTATGTGACGAGTTTTAATGAAAGTTAGTAAACTCGTTAAGCTTTGAATAATGTAGGTATAACCTCTTACAAGGAAATTTAACGGAAATTTCAAATCACAATTGCATATTTATTTCGAAATATTTTATTTTGAGAATTGTACAACGGTATTTAAAGTTTACTGTTGCCCTAAATTCGCCCCGTTTCTGGATTTTTCTGAACCTCCGACCAATATCCATGCGTCCTGTACATAAAAATATTTAGATGAGTATAGATGATACATATATTAGGAACCCAGCAACATGTTGCTAGTATGTTACCACTACGTGATTCAAATACAAAGTTGCCAAGCACGCATAGCTTAGCAACAAACAAATCGGGAACGACAGCTTTTTGGAGACGTCAAAGCCAATGCGTTCCACAACAAATAAAAGTCAATGCGCAAAAGCAAATTTATTATAAAATACAAGTATATTAACTACAAAAACAACAAGCTAATCCGAAAGATGCCGATACAGCAACAAAATGCACGCAGTCACCGCAACGAAAAACCACGAGCGAACGTCTGGCTGCCGCTGTGGCTGGTGGTGGGCACTTGGGTTGCCTACAAAAACACTTTGGCACACACACACACATACATATATCTACTCATGTATACATACATACACACGCACATATTTGCTGTTGTTACTGTTGGTATTTTCTGATTAATGTGCACATGCTGTGTTTGTTGCTGTTCTTATTTTATTGCCTTTGCTTTTGCCGTCAACAATACACAGCGGCAGTGGCGTCGGCAGCACCAACAGCAGCAGCAGCAACTTCTTCAACAGCCAGCGATTGTCTTCAATCGTGTTTATGCTGCCAACGGCTCTGGACGCAATTGCAAACGTAGTACGTGTCGATTTAATACCCGTGTTGAGACAATTTCAAGTAAAATAAAGGCAAAAACAAATATTTTGAAAAATTTATTAAAAAACGAAAGAAGTGCATTTTTCTTTAAAACGCATATTTGTGTGGTAAATTTATTTTACATATTTAAAATATTGCGAAATTCGTGTGTTTGGAAAGTCAATTTCCTTTTGCAGCAACAACAAAAACAAACAAGAACGCCCATATAACTAGACCGCCCACACAATAAATTGCGACGAATTTTTAGCAAGCGAAACAGCGCAAATCAAAGCGAGACATATTTTTGCATTTTTGTGAAATTTTAACTGCAACCGCAACAACAAAAACAAGATGTTCAGCTCATTCACAGGTAATGTGCGAATAGTTAAATGAATAAAATATATATTTTTTTGTAAAAATATTTTTAAATTAAGGCAGTTAAGGCGTAACATTCGTTGAAATTGCAAAGTGAGTTTAGGTTGTGTTTTTTGTTCTATTAGTTAGTAAAAATATAAAGTACAAAGTGCATGCTTTAAAGTGTTTTACGATATTTTTTGTTGAAATTAGGCATTTTTGCAATGAAATGAAAATGAAAGGAATTAATTAAAAAACAAAAATTTCAGCAAAAAAAAAAATTAATACAAAATATTCATGTGTGTATTAAGAAAAATTATTAATTATAATATTTGTAGAAAAAGTTAAATATATTTTATATATTATAATATCCTATATATAAAAAAGTATATAATATAATAAAATTCACTTACTAAATAAATTGTGAAATGCATTAAAAAAAAAATTATAATTTTATACAAATTTTTGGGTAAAATAAAATTGAAATTATTTAGAATAAAAAAAAAACTATTAAAATTAAAAAAAAATTAAAATTTTTATAAATGTGAACTTTTTTCAATAATAGTAAACAATTTAAATTAAATATATGTATGAAAAATATATAATAATAAAAATATTAGAAAATAATAATCATAACAGCCATAATAATATTTTTATTTCTAATAATTAGTATACTAAATAAAATAAAATAAAAATTTCCAAATAAATGATGCCGCTTAAAATACAAGACTAAAAATATTATATGGCTTTCAGCGAATTTAAAATATTTATTATCTTGTCTTATGTTTAATAGTGTAAAAGTTAAATTAAAAAAAAAAATTAATAATAATAAATAAGTAAATAAAAAATTATATAATATGTATAGTTATCATAATAACTATCCGAAACAATAATATGAGTTAAAATAAGAAACTAATTTTTTTTGAAATAATAAGAAAACAAATATTTAAAAAATTAAGTTAAACTTATGAAAAGCAACTATGAACACATACACTTTTATAAATAAAAAAAAAAACTTTTTTACATCTCAACTTAAATATATTAAATATATTAAAAATTATCTTTTTCATTTTGAGTAACGATAAATTTAACTTAATAATAATACAATTTATAAAAATTTATATGAACCATTTTTGAAAAATAATAAACATTAATTTTGATAAATAATATATAAAATATTTTTGAAATTGAAAGAAAATACTTTTTTTTAACAATAACAAAATATATATTTTAATGTGTTAAAATTAAAAAAATGTATTTTCATTATTCTATTCTAATATCAAATAATATAATAAACAGTTTTTTGTTTACCTTGAAAGTATAAAAAAAAATATTTTAAAAGCAATTTCGCGTACTAGTTACTTTATTTTTGAATAAAAAAAGTTTATAACATAACTATATTTAATTGAAAATATTATTCAATTTATTTTAAATAAATGGAATAGAAGGAAAATTTGGAAAAAAATGTTTTTTTTGTTTTTTAATAATTTTTTATAATAATTATTATATAAAATAATAAAAATAAGTATTATATGAAATAATAAACGTTTAAACATTATTTAAAACAATAAATTTTTATTTAAAAAAAATTTTAATAATTAAAAAATTTTTTTAAATACATATTTCTGCTTAAGTTTAAACAAAAACTGTAATTATTTTAAGAACCAGTTAAACCATTTTTTTCTATATATTAAAAAATATTTTTTTTATGTATAAAAAAAGTTTCGCATACGTAATTAATTCTAAATAAATATTTTATTAGGAGTATAATTATTAATTATAGTAATTTTCATGCATTTTAATATTTTTTTGTATTGAAAATATATTCAGTTGTTTTCACACGAATAATTAGGTCTCCCAATTCTATAAACAGCAAGAATTTGTTTGCACAAATTGAGTTTAAAAACACATTGCTTATTATTTATGGACATACATACAAGCACCTACACCTTACATACATACTTACATTTGAATATACATACATACATACAAATGTATATACAATGTATGCACGCATATTACGAAATGCATTAGTCATCGAACACAGGCATTGGCCAACAGCAACATCACCATCATCACCTGCAACATCTCACACATGCCAGTATAACATATCAATTTCAACAACAATAACAACATCAACAATTTTGCCCAACCGTGTTGATTTGGACTTTTACTAATATAAACAAATTAGACAAGGCGTGCACACACACACAAACATTGAGAGAGAAATATGCAATTATATGGACGCAGTAGCAACATACAACAAGAAACATGTTGCCAACCAGGCGCGGTCAATTTGTATTTGACACATTAATACAGGCACACCACACACCGACAAAAAAGTGGAAGGGTGGCCGGTGTGGTTGTTGTTATTTTCCGCAATTCGCTACTTTTGCGACTCAATGCTGTTTGTTTTTGTTGTTTGTTTTTTGTTGTTTTTGTACGTTCCACTTTATTTGCCCGCTTCAAGGATGCGCCATCAGCCAACACTTTCATTGGCACTCACACACACACTCTCACAACTCCTCTTTCACTCGCCTTCGTGACATGGAGTTGATTTCACTTCGCCGGAGACGACGTGCTTCGCTCATATTCTTTATTGTATTATGTCATCATTGGTAGCAAACTGCTTAGTAACAACAACAACAAATATACAGATATATAGTATATAATGGTACTTTATAGCTATATATGTATATATGTATGTGTATGAGTGTGGAATTAGCTGACGTTTAACCCTGCCCCCTCCTAGCTGGCGAATAGAGCGGTAGCAATATTATTTTGCTACTTCCGTTGCTGTTGTTGTTGTTTGCTGGTATGTTGTTTGTTTGTGTGTTATATTATATTGTATGACTTCATTGGTTTACGGTGTTACAACAATAACAAAAATGTAGAAAAAATTTAGCATAAAGTAAATGGAAATATAAAGTTAATATGCTAACAAGCTATAAAACGAGAATGTTCAATAAGATCCGCAGTTCGTATGAGTAATAAATGGTGTAAGACAGTTTGTGAAAAAAATCAACAACAACAAAAATAATATGATAATCGCAATAAAAGCGATTATGACGGCATTGATACTTCTCATTTCTATAAATTCTTTTTTTAATAAAAAAAAAGTATTATAGTTGCTGTTGAATGTTGTGAAAAAGCCGTGAAAAAAATTGGAAAAACAAAAATATAATAAAAATTGAAATAAATCTCAATTTTATGAACGCTTATGTTCTAATAAAAATAAAATTTTTTTGTTAATGTTGTTGTTGATTGCTACAAGAAATTTAGAAAAAAATTTAAACAACAACAACAAAATAAAAAGGGTATACATAAATCTAACTTTAATGAATTCTTCTTTTTTATAAAAGCAAATATTTAGTTGTTGTTGTTGAATGGCGTAAGGCAGTTTACACAAATCTTATTTTTATGTATTCTTATTTTTTTAATAAAAATATTTATTTTGCTGTTGTTGAATCTCACTTTGAAAAGATTTTAAACAACAACAGCAAAAACATATAAATATAAATCTTATTTTTATGAATTCATAGTTCTTAAGCAAAATATAATAATATTTTGCTGTTGTTGTTAGAAGCTATAAAACAGTACAAGAAAAAATTTTAAACAACGATAACAACAATAAATCGAATTTTAAAGAATCCTAATTTTTTAGGGACAATATAAAACAACAACAAAATACAAATAAACGTAACGGCACATTCGAAATTCGAGAACTATTACTTTTAAAATTTAGAAAAAAGGTATTGTTGTTGTTGCTGAATGTGAATAGTGAATTTGTAATTGATATTTTTGTAATGTGATATTGAATAGTGTAAGACAGTTTTAAGAAAAATTCAAGACTCTACAACAAAAGAAAGTGCAAAGGTAGCTAATTTTGGTTTCAAAATTTTTGGTTTTCAAAGAATAAAAATATATTTGCTGTTGTTGCTGTTGTAAATAAGAGTCTTGAAGAGAGTCTAGGAATACTAAAATTCCTTGTTATTTAGTATAATAGTTTCGTAAGGATGTTAGTTGTTCGTAAGAACTCGCTTAGGGAAGACTAAGGCCAATTGTTACTACTCGCAAGTCTTTTTTTTTGCTCACATTTCACAATCTCTCATAGTCTGGTTCCAGTTTTTTACATCGAGTGTCTAAACTGACTGTCCGAGGTTGCATTACCATAAATTCGAGGAGCTTTGAATTTTCTTATTTGAATATTAGAATCTTTTGACTTCATGTTGTTAATGCTAAAGAGATTGCCCAAATATATCTCCTAGAAAAGCTTCGGCATTCACTGTCTGTTTACTTCAGCATTATTGGCTGTAAACTTATATAACATACATGTATATTATATATAAATCCTACGATATGTCATCTCTATGCAGTCTTTATTACCCCTCCAAAAAAGTATTTTGTTTTTTGTTTTGTAAGGAGTGAGGAGGTTCATACAACAAAAACTAACTTTAGCATTTTAAAAATCTATATTTTCTGGAGGATATAAGACATGGGCATAGATTTGAAACTTTTTAATAGAAATACGTTTTTCATAATATAATAGAAAAATTTCCAACGAAATTTCGTTATAATATCTCTGTTCAGACTCCAGCTATAATACTTCCACACGTTGTGAGTTAGATACAGGGTTGCATACCCCACTAATCTGTGGTTTTGAACACTATGTATTCTCTACTCTTCTCTCGTTAATATAATATAAGTATCTTATTCTCTAGCTTTCGGAACGTCGTTATAAGTAACCGTTAGTCGAACAATTCCATACTCTTGTGTAATAAATTACGCTGTGGTATCATGACAGTGCCGGCTTATTGTCACAATTCAATTTAATCGCATTAAAAATACAACTCGTGTGCTCTTTCGCCAGCGAGTGGCCAAGTTCTCAATTGAGTGATGTTAGAATTAATAATAATTATTTAATTTTGTCATCAACAGCGATGCGGCGACCACAAACAGTGCCTTCGGTGCATGTGACCCTAGTTGGTAGACGGTATTATTGCATGAAATATAAAT